GGTTAGGGCGTCCCCTATCGTTTTACAGTGAATGCAACTTGGCAATATTGTTGCATCTAGAGTATCGTCTTTAGAGCGTCCCCTATCGTTTTACAAGTCAACGTTAGCATTGGCCATCTTCGACAACCGCCTGCTTTACAACCAATATACGATAATTTTGACCTCATCTCATTTAGGGTTTAGTAGGGTTAGGGTTTAGGGTTTAGGGTTTAGGGTTTAGGGTTTAGGGTTTAGGGTTTAGGGTTTAGGGTTTATAGGGTTCAGGGTTTAAGGTTTAGGGTGTGTGGTAAAGTATACTGTTTCGCAAAGGGAGGCTGTATAGGAATACCGGTGCCAATGTAAACAGCTGCAACCTGCCAGAGTTTTGGCTAGAGGTAGACCAACGGTACCCCTGCAATCTAAAAAAACTAAGGTCCGCTTAGAAGCAGCACCCCGGCCCCTATCCCTAAACTGCAACAAACCGTCACCGCGCCCCAAAGCGCCTTTTGAAAGGCCACCTACACAGAATTATCACTAACGAGCAAACTCAACACTAAACCCCCCTAAACCCTAAACCCTAAACCCTAAACCTCCAAACCCGAAACCCCAAACCCAAATTGCGTGGTTTTTTGTGGCTCCGGATCTTCGTCGCCACGGCCACGCGGCTTCCCACGGCGCCGCAGTAGGGCAGGAGAAGGCTCCGGCACGACACCTGCAGCGAAATGTCAGGATAATGTAGGGGCCTTAATAATAATAACAACAATAATAATAATATTAATTAGAAGAGTGTTTTGGGGTATATGCTACTATAGTTATAATAAGGAACCTCCACAATTGTAGTTATTGTTTTTTTAGGCCCCTATGTTATGGTTTGGGACTGCACTTTCGGCTTCAAGTGTGGATCTGTGAGCCCTCACATGCTCAGGGGTTGGGGAAGATTTAAGTTGGGGCCTAAAATGTCGTGCCACGCTGTCTTCTACTGTAATGTAGGGGCCTTAATAATTAGAAGAAGGTTCTGGGGTACACTATAGTATCCATACAATAAGGAAATAAGGAACCCTAAGATGATACTGGTAATTGTTTCGGCTTCTGCTGTAGTACCGGCGAGCAACATGCGATTTGTTCGTTTTCACTCGCACACCGTGACCAAGCGGTATTCGCTTCAACACTCAGTGGCCACAACCAACACAAGTGCCAACAATTGGTCAGCTCGTCTAAGCATCCCGGCGTCGCCCGTGAACGGCGAAAACACACCAGATGAGAGCACCTTTCTCGAAAGGTGACAACACGACTTCGAAACGCCATCAGCCGTCTGATTCATGAGGCTTCGTCTGAAACACTAACCGGTCCTAACCAAACCCCGCCGCTCCCAAACCCAAAATATACAACACAAACACCCAGACCCCAACGACCTTAAACCATATAGTTACTACCCGTAACATTAAAGTGCGCCCTTGTTATTACTCTCGGGGAGTTTTAGTACATGAAACATACAATATACTTCTTATTCCTAAGAGCACTAAAGAAAGGCCCTTAGACCTAAGCCGCATCATGAGCCTCAGATCACCCCACCTCTTCGGGGACATCACACTGACCCCATCTGTTTCTGCCGAAACAGACCAGATCCCCATCGGCTGTTATCACACAGGTATGATGCAATCCGGAAGATACTGCAGAAACCGGGCCAAGGGCCTCTGGAACGTTGCATTGGCCATCCTTGTTCAATCCGAAACATACCAGCCGTCTGTCGGCAGTGATTGCGCAGGTGTAGTGATACCCTGCAGATACCGCCAAAACGGGCCCCAAGTCTGCAGGCACTGCACACTGGCCCTCGCTCTTTTCTCCGAAGCAAACCAGCTTCCCGTCTGCCTTCACTGCACAGGTGTGATCTTCGCCGGCAGATACAGCCACCACAGACCCCAGACCTGCTGGGATGCGGCACTGGCCCTCGTTTCCACGTCCGAAACAAAGCAGCTGCCCGTCTATCTGCACTGCGCAACTGTGGTGAGCTCCGGCAGCAACTGCTATTACTGGCCCGATTCCTTCCGGCACATCGCACTTGCCCTCGTTGGGATGACCAAAGCAAACTAATCGTCCATCAGCCCTCACTGCACAGGTGTGCGAGAAGTCTACAGCAACAGCTAGAGTTTGTCCAAGCATGGCTGGCACATCGCACAGACCATGGCTGTTCTGCTGCAAGTTCACGACTTGCCCAGGCTTGATGTTCTGGACGTACTCCTTGTTAGCTCCGAAACAACGCAGTTGTGCAGTTGTCGTTATGACGCAGGTGTGATGATAGCCTGCCGACACCGCCACAACAGGTCCCAAGTCTGCTGGCACATCGCACTGGCCTTCTTCGTTTCGACCGAAGCACAGAAGCTGCCCTGCGGCGTTCAGCGCACAAGTGTGCTGATATCCTGCAGACACGGCCAGCACAGGCCCCAGGTGGGGTGCCATGGCCTGAGACAGCACGGATATGCATTCCACGACTCGCCTTTTCGCGAGGCACAGCGCAACACTTCTTGGCGCACGCAGACGTGCACCCCGCTGGCTATATGCAAGAG